ACACGTGTTGACAGGTGAGTCACAGAGAACAGAGTGCACACGTGTTGACAGGTGAGTCACAGAGAACAGAGTGCACACGTGTTGGCAGGTGAGTCACAGAGAACAGAGTGCACACATGTTGGCAGGTGAGTCACAGAGAGCAGAGTACACATATGTTGGCAGGTGAGTCACAGCTGATAAAGGCGATACATGATGACTGATAGCTCATACTGTAGCTCAGGTCCTGGCAAAGAGAATAGAGACAAGCAGGCTGGTAATCCCTATGGGATACCAGATGTCAGCAATTAAATAAAAGATATTACATTAGACAGTGTGTGTACATTCATGTTCCCATACAATAAATGGTCACACAATATAGCTTATTTCCTGCCAAAAAAAAATCTGTATATACTTTTTGATATATTAAATAATCCATATTGATACTCAACTGAGGCATAAAATCCCAACAAATGGGTTTAAAATTGATGTAGGTATATGTAGCTTTGGTAAGGAGCCTGAAATGATGATGTCATTGCAGGACACTGCCAGCAGGTGACAGTAGAGCAGCAGAATTTTCTTCTCTTATTGTGTCTGGATTGCTGCAGATTGTAGGGACGTGCTGCATTATGGTTGGAATGATCTGATAAGGGCTTTGGAGATAGACGCCTGGCGTTCTCAGAGGATGAGACTGCTCTGATTTTGTGCTTATTAAAATCTGGTATCCGGTGCTTTGTCTTTAGATTACGTTCTGAATTGCCCAATTGAAAACGAGTATACATGCTCAGAATGGTTAATTTTAATATAAAAATAATCCATGCATACTTCCAATTATGTATCTTGAGTAGGGTGCCAGTGTTTAAAATAAATAAATAAAGTAAAATCAATAAAAATAGAAGTGCTGAGGAAAGACTGTTTTTTTTTTCCTTTTAAAGCAAAATTAAGGTAATGGCTCAGTTCTCATCGATGTGCATACACAACCGAGAATCCGTACAGGCACACACTGGACAGCTAAAACCAGACAAGTAAATGCAGTCCATCTTCTGTTTTTATAACTGGCTCCTATGTTTGACTCAGTTCTCATCGATGTGCATACACAACCGAGAATCCGTACAGGCACACACTGGACAGCTAAAACCAGGCATGGCAATGCAGCCCAGGACCTGCTTTACAAACAGCTCTTAGTTTTGAGGTATGATAAGAGAGGCATGTCCGACCTGCAGGTTGTCACAGATCTCCTGGCTGTAGGTGACCCGTTGGATCTCGGTAGGGGAATCCAGGTAGAGCGCCTGGCCGCCAGCAAAGCAGAATGTGCGGGCGATGCGGGTGTCTGTCAGGGGTAGATAGCTGCCATCCAGCAGGGGCCTCAGACTAGGCAGGCTACCAAAACAGAACATATATGTCACCAAAGCAGAAAGAGTACCTATTTCAATAATTAACAGAGATGAAAAGTTCAGGTCCAGGAAGTAAAAATCCAGACCAAGGTTTTGCTTCAACCAACCAGTCGAGCCCAAAGAGTCACAGTCACAGAGTACTCAACTGGTGGGCTGAAACAAACCTTGGTCTGGATTTGTACTTTCTGGACCTGAACTTTCCACCTCTAGTAATTAAGTATTAGCTGTGTAAGACAAATTAACCGTATGAGCAATAATATGTATTAGTTATAATAAATACATAATAATTATCAGGAACCATCAGAAGTATTAATTCCATTTTGTGCTAACTGTTACTTCTAAAGTTACCTCAACTATGAATGTACTACAACAGGCATCCAGCCTTAGACACACGAGGGGAGGGGTGCTGGGTAGGTTTTGGGGGTATTACTGAATACCACAGTATTTTCATTGAAAATTACCCCCCAGCCCCCAATTTGCATATTTATTGGTTTAATGCCAGAATAGGGTTGTTGTTTTTTTAAACACCATCAAAATACAATATAATAATAATAATAATAATAATAGATACTTTATTGATCCCCTTGGGGAAATTGTCTTTACGCCTCTCTCAATTTGCTCTTTGTAGAGTAAGCTGTCCGCGAAGGGCAGCCACTCGTAGCGGTGCCCAGGGAGCTGGGGGTTAAGGGCCTTGCTCAAGGCCTCACAGACGTGCTGTACCCTGATATACCCTGGTATCATGTCTGGACAGTAGGATGGTATAAAAACAGCAGAATCACAGATTTTCAGGACATTGCTTGTCATGTGCGGGTGTCGTGGGAGCCGCTGTCAAATTGCGGGAGACTCCTGGAATATCCGATGTCTGCTACTGCTATACAGCTCTTGATTTTTAACAAAAAAATGTACATAAGAGAAATGAAACAGTTCCACAGCAGAAACTGACGGCCTTGTGAATTTCCAACACTTTCAAGCAGATACAAAAGTTCGTCCCGAGCCAGCAGCTGACCGACACGCCACAGAACAGCGGTGAGTGACAGGATTCAGCTGGCGTCACCTGAGGGTCATGATGTGGCCGTTGGCGCAGAAGCAGGCCAGACAGACGCTGTTGCAGATGGACACCATGTCGGCACACAGCACAAAGGATGATTCGGTGATGCTGTGGGCGTACAGACAGGTCTGCGCCGGCATCAGGAACACTTTGGCCTGCTTCTCTGAGCATACCACCGCAAGGTGGCCCTCGCCAGGGACGTCCTGTGAGGACGAGCGGGAAACGGGCAGCTTGCACCTGCGGCTGCGCTCGGGATTCTCTTGGAGGTGGGGGTCCTGCCACACCTCATATGGGGTGTGGATTAGGCTACCATTAAAGTCCAGGGATGCAAACCTCAGAACTGAACCTTTGACCATTAGCACAGTGCCTGAGAGACAGAGAGAGAGAGAGAGAGAGAGAGAGACAGACAGAACCCTTTTAATAAGGAACCTGAGTGAGAGACAGAACCCTTTTAAGAAGGAACCTGAGTGAGAGACAGAACCCAATTAGGACAGAACCTGAGCCAGAGACAGAACTCTATTCGGATAGAACCAGATCCAGACACAGAATCTTTTTAGGACAGAGTCTAAGCCTAAGACAGAACCCTTTTAGGTTAAAACCTGAGACAAAGATAGAATCCTATTAGGACAGAAATTCTGTCAGGGAAAGAGTCCTATGAGGACAGAACATGAGTCAAAGACAAAGCCCTATTGGGGCTCACTCACCACTAGGCGACATAGTGACAGAGTCCTGTTGGTTCTCCTGGGTTCCCGCAGATGCTGACACGGCCAGGACCAGCACCACACCGAGGCTGGTGCCCACCCACAGGCTGGGTGAGGGGGCGGCGTCCGTCTTGCGGGCAAACGACTCCATGAAGTGCAATGCGGTGATGGATTCCTTGGCCTCTCGGTCCACGCTTGAGATGCTAGAACTCCGGGAGCGACTGAAGGAGCTCTCACGAGATTCTGCAGCATGGCAGGGCATGACAGTCAGTGTGTATATGTGTGCATGCATGTGTGTGTGTGTGTGTGAGAGAGAGAGAGAGAGAGAGAGAGAGAAAGAGAGAGAGCTGGAGATTGATGTCGTTCACAAACAACTGAACATCACCATCATTCAGGGTCATACACTAATGGTCAAAAACGCATAAAAAATTATCAGGAAAATAAACAAGCAAGAAATAATTTGCAAATACATCCATGCACCCATCTTCCAACTGCTTATGCTGGTAATGATTGCAGGAGAAGCACAGGACACTGCAGGCAGCACAAGACACTGCAGGCAGCACAAGACACTGCAGGCAGCACAGCCCACTGCAGGCAGCACAAGACACTGCAGGCAGCACAGGACACAAGACAGGGATTCTGATCCATCACAGGTCACATGCTCACTCTCCACGAGCTGCCAAAATGTAACTACATGACTGCAGAATATATGATTTCACTACTGCACTTTGGATTAATATTCAGATACACACTGTATGTCCATGTTGCATATATTGTTATTTTCAGTTTATTTTTAATTTATTGTTTATAAAACAGGGTGGTGTTGTGATTAGCACTGTTGACTCACACTTCTGGGAATTGGGTTCGAGTCTCTGCCATAGCTCCATGTGTGTGGAGTTTGTGTGTTCTTCCCATGTCATCATGGGGCTTCCCCCGGGTACTCCAGTTTCCCCCCACAGTGGAAAAACATGCTGAGGCTAATTGGAGTTGCCAGATTGCCCCTAGGAGCACATGTGTGAGTGTGAGCGCATGTGTGAGTGTGAGCGCATGTGTGAGTGTGAGTGTGAGCGCATGTGTGTGTGTGTGAGTGTGAGTGCCCTGCAATGGGTTGGTGCCGCATCCTGGGTTATTCCCTGCCTTTCACCTATAGGCTTTGGACCTTCCAGAACCCTGAATAACATAAGCAGTTACAAAAGGATGAATGTTATTTTTTTTATAATATGTCGCAAAAGGTGGAGAAAGCATACAGAGTTTCATTATAGATGTACAATGATGATAAAGATTTGGTTAATAAATACAGATGCCTGCTCCATGTGTTTGGACTTCAGGAGGGAACTGGAATACTTGGAGGAAACACACATAGCACAGGAAGACATGGGACAGTGTAGGATTCAAATCCCCAACCAAGGAGGTGTGAGGCATCACTGCTACTGTACCTACTAAGGTCACATGCCACCCTAATACATAAATATATATAAGAATTTTACACATCTGCAGTTGTGCACATGCACATCCTCATGCACCTGGACATAAACTGTTCAGACAAACAAATAAGTCTGTTTCAGTCTCAACTAGGGTTGCTAAGGGCTGGAAAATTTCTGGAAATTTTCCTGAAACTTTCCGTTCCATGGGAAGTTAAGCTGGGGAATTCTGGAAATATTCCACATTAGAAACTTTCCATGGGAATTAACGGGAAAGTATGGGAATTAACAAGAATATTCCTAGAATTTTGCAACCCTAGTCTCAACACAACAATAAACAGTAAAACACTGGGTGTCATGTGATAGAAAGTGGGTGGGGCCAACCCAAAAAGCCACACCCCCTCACCTCTCTCACTCCAGGAATAGGCGGCGCCGTGGTGCTCGTCGTGTGAATACATGCTGACTCCGTGAAGCTGCTGCAGCATGGCTCGCCGGGACGCATACCCTGCTTCACCAGAGAGACAGCCGGGCAGAACCCAACAATCACAAAGAAAGGCATACAGGTAGGCAGTGCTCATCACTTATAGACAAGCAAGGGGAAGATACTGGAGGCAAACAGAAGTAGAGAAAAGGCTTCATTATACACAAGTGAAGGAACTCAAAGATTGGGCCTTGGTAATTCCTCAGAGTAATGTCTCACTTGGAGTAATGTTTCAGTCTGAGTAATGCAACTCACTCTCAAGGTAACAGAACTCAACACAACACTGTGAGCAATTCCTCGCATCTACCATCTACTTGATCCCCCTGCTGAAATCTGACCTTCAATTGTGTGTGATCCTGCTGGGAAATTTCAATAAATTAATATACACAGAGAAACACACAGCTAAGGGAGAGAATGCAGACCCCCCCCCCCCCCCAGCACTCTTCCACTAATCTATAATAAGTATTTCAAAAGTATTGTTTTGATCTAATAGTGGCACAGGCTGCTAGGTCAACTTTGAGTGAACCGGTACGGAAGGTACAGAAATTTAGATGCTGAAGTATCCACAGGGGATATTCAAACCCCCTTCAGAGACAGATAATAAATCAAACTTCTTCATACTCATCCTCAAGTGAGCCCAACTCTGCAGCGTCAGAGGAATCATGGAGCCATTTATTTCTCAAACCTGCGCTATCAGCAGGTAACATTGTGTTTGCTAAGGGAGTGAAGCGAGCCCAGGGTGCCACGTCGCTTTGGCTGGAACTACATCCTGGTAACGCCACTTCTGTGAGGGTTTTTCTCCGGATTTGAACACATGTGCCAGTTTTGGTACAGCCTCCACCAGTGTGAGACTTCATATCTATTCCCTTCCATTGCACAATGTATGATGTACTATGGTCATTAATCAGTCACAGAATGCCAGCTCAGTCACAGAATGCCAGTCATAGAATGTGAAACACTCCTGATGTTTCCTGCTCCTGACTACGGCTGAAATCCTCACTCTTTATCCACCAATTGCTAGTGAAAACAGCTTGGTATGACTTAACATTGTAAAAAGGACATTTGATCTCCCTTTAATTAAACAGCAAGGAATAAAAAAAACTCATTCAAGACCTAGCAAGATAAGTTAAACACAGACAAGGTCTTTGGAGGTGACTTGGACCCTGTCATCTCAGACTATGCTATTTTAATAATCGCCATGGTCAGTGGATGGAGGAAAGATGTGGAAAATCTTAAGTCAAATCTTAACAAATCACAACCCTTGTGTCAAACAAGCTTATAATATATTATAATAAATAATATGTGGCTGTGACTCTTTATGCTCAACTGGACTGTCTGTGCAGGTGCGGACCCACAAACCTTCTGAGTGGGACACGGGCAGGGAGATTTCCATGCATGCGGCAGACTGAGCCTTGCGAAAGGGCGGCCGGCCCGGTCCCCGGCGACCCAGCCTGACTGCCTCAGGGCCCGTGGTTCCCGTCGCGCCCGAGAACTTCCCAGTGAGCTTCGCTGAAGCCGTGGACTGGGCCGCCGTGCTGGAGCACTGGCCGTTCACGTGATCTGCAAACAGTGCCAACGTGTTAAACCGGGGCGGTCTTGGTGCAAAGACTTGCACGCTCTTGCAAATAGCAAAGAGACAGACAGGTACTCACCCGAGGGAAAAGGCTTAACTGAAAATAAGAGTAGATTAGGATAAATCAGACCCAAAGCCACAGGAAGTGTGATACAAACAGGTTAGAAGAGCAAAGGGGAAATGGATCAGTCCCAGGCCTGGAGCTCAGGTTACTACATCACTGTATCACATTTGGTGTGTCAGTCTCCAGCCAAGGAGAACCTGCTAAAGCCACCTGTGATGAGCAAATGAATGTTGCTTTGTTCCATCTGCTCTGCTATACTTTCACTTACAGGTGCCATCTGTGTTGACACTCACATGTAAATCGTGTTCTGTCCCATACATCCATTCATTCGACTGTGCTTTTCCTCAGCAGCTCCACTGTACTCTTGCACAGAAGAGCAGAAGCATATGACCCTACAGTGCGGCATTCGGAAACACTCACATGCTAACTTTGATGCTATACCAGGGATGTAGGGTGCTGTGCAAAAGTCTTAGGCAGTCAAAGAAAGTGATGTTTAAATGATCTTCCTGTTGGATATTCTGTCTGTCAGAGTGGGTCAGCTTAGCCGTTTCAAAACCTCTGCTAAAGTCACCCCTGTACCTGCAGCAACCATCTGATATGTCCCTGAATTTTTTTGACTTGACCACTAACAACAGCTCACCAGGTTCTTTAACAAATTAAATAAATGACTTGGCTGGTGATGAAATGTAATAAATACATGGAATGGCTGGGGTACCCTGAGGAGAAGTTTGGGATCTGAAGCAGTGATCATCTAGCCATCCAACAAGAGGTCAGCAACTTTTTGGAAAACATATGAAATTCTTGTTTATTTTTCAGCATGTTACTGATCATTTTTAACCTTAAATTAAAATGTTCTTTCTGAGCAAATATACTAACCAGATAAATACCTTTAAAACATTTTCTTTGACTGCCCTGGACTCCCCAGTACTGTTCATTACAATTGTCGTTCTTCCAGTTAATAACTGGTTTAAGCCATATATTATTGTCCTCTGCTTTCTAGGACTAGACGGATCAACTACTGATCTTCATTTTGTGCAGCAGCAGTTTGGGTCAGAGCAACATTTCATCAGCCAACCCTTTTTTTCTCTGCATCCAGAGGGCCGTCCCAGAGAATTAACATAATTATGGTCTTAAACATTTCACAGAGGTGATAAAGCACATCCAGGAGACACGTGACAAGAAAGGCTGAATTATGGTGATAAGAGTGTGTCACAGCCCAGGTGAGGAGAAGTCAGGTATGACGATGCAGTGAGATTTGGAGGTGCCTCCGGAAGCCAAAGATGGGAGCATGGAAAACGGCGTAGCCTTGGAAACGCATTATTTTAAATACAACATTCTTTAAATGAAAAATGTCACACAGTATCCATTTGTGCTTTATGATGCTGAGAGTGAGAGTGTCTTGCTAGAGCAGAAGGCAGGAAACAAGTTCAGAGCATCAAGAAAGGAGGCCAGTAGAATGAGAGCATGTGAAATGACACGTGAGAACCGCTGGCTTCCCCCTACCGTACCAAGATCGGGCTTAAGATCAGTCGGCAGACTTAACTTTCTGCCTGGCCCCTTAACTGAAATAAAACAAATAGGACAGAATGTTAATTGTAATAAAGAGCTGAAATACTGCAGAAGTGAAGCCTGCAAAAAAGGACAGACTTTGAAGACTGTGCAGGTTAAGGGCTCCAAACCCCTGGTCAGTGCACACATGTAGCACTGCAGACTGACACTACAGACTGTGGACACATGTAGCACTGCAGACTGACACTACAGACTGTGGACACATGTAACACTGCAGACTGACACTACAG